ACATCCAGTTTTTAAGGTGATAAATCAAGCATTACAGTTAAATAAATACGATAAATATGTTATAAGATTTACTGGGATATATACATACATATATATATATATATATATGTACACATAGGGGTAAGGGGTTGGTTCAAATGTTAACCAAAATTATTGTGTTAACTTTGTTAACCAATCTTGGCCATTGATTCTTACAATAAAGGGTTGTGATTAATCATGATAAAAAATTAAATTTTTAAATTTACAATTTCAAAGAACATATGTGAACAAAGGGGAAAAGAGTATTTAGGTAATTTTCTTTTTTATGTAACTCCCACATCATTAATTGGGAGTTATAAAATCAAAAAATCTCATTATTTTTATTAATTTATTTTTGTTAATGTAAGAATCATATGAACACATACATACACACCCACACACACACACACACACACACATATATATATATATGAATCATTGTGTCAAATACGAACAAAAATTGACATATATATGAACTTGGATTGTATAGCATTTATGAAAACAATATGGATATAATAAGAATAGTTGGTACACGAAAGTAATAAATAAAAAAACATGTATGAACACAATATGAACAGTTTGTAAACAATAGTTCATTTATTATGAACACATTCAGGAGCAAGTCAATGTTGAAATATGCAGCTAGTGTACATATGAACACAATATTAACAGTTTGTGAACAATATTCCTTCATTATATACACATTCAGTAGCAAACCAATGTTGAGATTTACAGCTAGTATACATATGAATACAATATGAACAATTCTTTAACAATTACATATGAATTCAAATTCCGATTGTAGTCGTAGACGATTTTAACTTTTTCATTCTCATTGTTGTTGATCTGTTTTCCAATAGGTTTATCCATATTACTCGGACGATATCGAAATCTTTACAATCGAAAATTCTTTAACAATTACAAAATCAATATCATTATGGATAGAATAAATGTAAATTACAAAACATGAACACGTATAAAAAAAATATCAATATTACATAATTATCAATTATTGAGATTTTTAGATTTGTAACTCCCAATTAATGATTTGGGAGTTACATAAATGACAAATTACTTAACTACCCTTGTCATTAATATATGAGTTATATGTGAGCTTAAAGAAAAGATGGAATATGATTGGTTGAGTTTAGTTAACAAAGTTAATACAAAAATCTTGGTTAGTATTTGAACCAAGCTCTACATATATATATATATGTGTGTGTGTGTGTGTGTTTATATGATGAATATTTCGAAATAATGGTTTGGTAAGTCTACATTGTATGAGATAAGGTTGTGTTTATAATCTATTCTATAAAAAACGACATATACTTTGCATGTGGTATATGAAAAGTCTAGTGCATGTGAAAGTATGACCATGTTAAATATACTCAATAGGGTATAAGAATGGATGATGTCTTGCAAACGAACCTCAAGGTGAAGATCCTTCGCATAACCCCAGGGGTTTAAGATACTATTGAGAATTTGATATGCTTACACATATGAGATCTCGCACTGACGGGTATATAACGTCCCAATGAGGTTTTTTACATACACAAGTGGTTTTATGCATCAATGTTATTATGCATAATTATGAGAAGTGTATTAAATTGTCATTCAATTTAATACATAATTGAATTATAATAAAACATTAAAAATATTCACACCTAATTATGCATCAATACATTAAATCAAAATCATAAAAGAAAAAAAACGTATGAAAAATAACATATGATACATGGACCTAGGGGTGCTCATAAGTTAGGTTGATCAGGTTGAAGATATTTTAACAACCCAACCTAATGCTTACGGTTTGAAAAAATCTTAATCCAACCCAACCCAATGCTTACGGTTTGGTATTTTAAAATATTCTTCTAACATTAAATATGTTATTTCTCTACTCATAATTTCTTTTTCATCATCAACCATTTGATACAACTTATCCATATTTCTTACGTATATCACATTCAGTTAATTTTCTCATTTACATATATATGTTCACAGTTACTGAACATATATATGAATGAGTTATATAGAGATATGAATAGATTGAAAATATGTGTAAATGAAAAACATATATGATAGTGTAATTGTCTAATGTATATATTAATAGAAATTCAACAATCATATTAAATCCAAGAAATAAAAGGATATCGGGTTCATCGGGTTTGGTTGGGTTCAAATAATAGTAACCCAATATCAATCCAATACTTACCGTTTGACAATTTTACAACTCGATTAGAAATCGGGTTGTTTCGAATTGGATTGGGTTAATCGGATTGATCGGATTTTTGAACACCCCTAATTGACCTTAAGGTTATCAATTTATATACACATCAGTCTATACCCTATAACTACTAATCATCATTACAACATTATTAATTACTATATTTTCTATCTCTTTTCTCTTCTATCTTATCATTGTATTCATGATTAATTATCTTTCTTATTTTTTATTATCATAATACAATAATTATGAATATTATAATATCTATACTATATTATTAAGCATTTGACAAAAACTCTTAAAAATTATTTTTTATACATAGAATATTGTACATTGATGCATATTACTTAAAATTCAAGATCACAAGTAAATTATGCATAAATACAACTTATTAAAGCTTTATGTTTGAATTCGTGTAACTAACCGTGGATAAACATAATCAAATAAAAGGATAAACATCTCATTTTAAAATAAATAAAAAATCTAAAATATAATTAACATAATTATCGAGTTTTAATAAAATAATTAATTCTTATCGTTATAAGAAATTTATATTATTAAACAAATATAAATTACTTCGTTATTGAACATAAATTAAATTATAATAAAAAATAAATTAAAAAATTACACAAAAAATAAGAATTTTAAATAGTTAATTTGATACTAATATCGATATATTTTTGTCAAATTTTTATGATACTTCACGTTTATATTTTATTAAAAAATAAAAATATCATCGTTTTTTCAAAATCACATAAGACCATACTATAACATCGACTGAAATAAAGAATAAAATGAAATATTAAAATCAAAATGTATCTCACTGCATTGCGCGAGTACCCTTCTAATAATTGTAAATACTACTAATATAAATATATTTTATATAATATCATTTATTACATACGGTGAAGATGATGGATAAGTTTTTAAATATTATTCATTTTTATTTAATTTCGTCATTAATATATATTGTAACAGTTTATTTGAATTTTTATTTATTGACTTTTAATTTATTATGTTACTAATTCTTTAATTGTTAAAATATCATATCTTCTTATAAAAATAATTTTTAAAATTAAAAATTTATTTACTTTCTGTATCTAAATAAAAATAACATATAAATCAACTTTTTTAGTATATTTAATTATTAATTAAATATTTAAAAATGCTAACAAACATATTAGAGATTTTTTTTAATAAATTGTAGTTGGATGTTATAAATTTTAAATAATTTATTATTTACAAAAAAATATCAACTTAACTTATAAACGAATATGATGTATACAAATAAATAAATAAATATTATTTACCAATTAGATAAAAGTAATGTCAACGGTTCATAAAACGATATGAAATTTTCTATGCTGTTACATCCTTAAAATGTTGATAATAGCAAAATTTTAAAATTAAAAAAATAAAAAATAATTAAGCAATCGTAACTAGTAGATCGATGTTTAATTAAAAAATAGATACGTGTTCAAATTCTCATAAAGATTATTGTATTAATAATTGTATTAAATCTCACATACTTTAAAAAACTTAGGGGTTGTTTGACATTACCGAATGATTTGGTGTAAAATGATTAAATGGTCTGAATGATTAAGAGACTCTCATGATATAGTGCAAAATAATATATAATTGTTTACGATGAAATTAAGGTGCTGAATGGTTAAGAGAAATCCAAGATACAAAATCATTCACATAATTTTAGAACTATTAAGAGTTTTGCTAAACAAGACCCATCTTTTAACAATCCAGAGATTGTATCTTAATGAAACTGTTAAGAGGTAAACAAATAACCTCTTGATTTTCATGTAATTTTTAGTATATTAGAAGGGTATTCGTGCAATGCAGCAAAATAAATCTTCATTTTAATGTTTAATTTTTATTATTTGTCTCTATCGATGTAATATAATTTTATGTGGTTTTGAAAAACGATAATGTTTTTATTTTTGAATAAAATATAAATTTGAAGATAACATAAAAAATTAAAAAAATCGATATTAATATTAAATTAATTATTTAATAATTTTCGTTTTTTTTTTTGTAACTTATTTAATTTAATTTTTTATTATAATTTAGTTTAGGTATAATAATAAAGTAATTTATTTTTGGTTTAATAATATTATTTTTTTATTAAAAATAATAATTTAATATTCGGTTAGAAACTCGATAATTATCTTAATTATATTTTAGATTTTTTTATATTTTAAAATGAAAAGTTTATCCTCTGTTTGATTATGTTTGTTCGTAGTTAGTTACATAAATTCAAACATTAAGCTTTAATAAATTATACTTAATACATAATTCACTTGTAATTTCAAATTTTAAATAATATGTATTAATATACAGTATTTTATGTATAAAAAATAATTTTTAAAAATTTATATTAAATGTTTTATAACATAGTATAGATAAAAAAATAGTAAAAATGGAAGGACATAATTATGCGGTGTTCCTCGAGTTGTGCAAAGTCTGTGGCTTACGACTTAGTCCAACTTCCCGGCGTCGGGTCCCCCAGATCCCAATCTTATCGATCTTACGGCTTACACTCGCCGGATTCCACAAAACTCCACCATCCAAATCCAGTTCTAGAAATTACGTAAGCCCGTATTATTATTCTTATCTTCATTCACGTTCTCCATTCTTCCACCAATCCCATGTCGACAACGAAATCCCATTTCCCCAATCATTTTCAAATAAATCTTCTTGCAGAAATTGTATTTCCTCACGTCAATGTGATGATCAATGTAAAGAAAAAGAGATGGAGCAAGAGACCCACACGGTGTTTGATTACTCTCGTCTCCCTCTTTCATTCCCACCCCCCACCCACCCCACCACACCACACCACATGTATGATGAAATGATGACTAATATATTGGAATAAATACAAGACAGGTAACAAGGGGAGTGATGATTAAAATTCATCTTGACCTTCAAGAAGAACCTCAAATCACAACGTATGGCTTCTGGGCTTATTTTTCCTTTCTAAAAAGTCAACTGAAAAACACTATGCATACAAGTTTCTTGATTTGGTTTTGACTGGAGTAATGATTATCAAATATTGCAGATACAGGTCAGAGATGGGTATTACTTCTTTTTCTTTTCTTTTCTTTTCTTTATTTCTTTTGGATGAAAATTAATGGGATTTTTATGGTTTCAGATCTGAGTTGTTAATTTTGTTTTTCCATCACAGGATGATGAGGAAGTAGAAGAAGAGAAAGAAAGCTGACAGAAGAGAGTGAGCATATGCAAAGCAATTGTATAGAGAACTATACACTTGTTGGACTTATGCGTGTGCTCACTTCTCTTGCTGTCAGCTACTCTCACCACCTCTTTCACGGTGTAACTATTACAGTAACCTCGGGATGTCTGTGTTGTATTTTATGTCTTTTTATAATCTTTTCGTGTATTCTCTGTGTGTGTGTCTCGTTCGATAAGCGAGAAGAAGCGGCAGAAAAAGGTGCGACACCTGGACAGAGGCCTATCTATCGATACACACACCACCACCCACCCACCCACCATCCACTACCACCACCACTGTGTCTGTGTTAAACAGAAAAAGCTGCAAGTCTTGATGACTCATTACACATCCCTAATCTGGTTTCTTTATCTTTCCTATAATGCCCCTCTTTCTCGCTCTATATCCTTATCTCTAAAAGCATTCCCTTGATGTGTGCAACAGTAACTTGATTAGATTCAAAACGAAGATGATCTCGGATACAAACAGGTAGAGAATGTATATGTATTCTATGTACCTTGTTAATTTTGTACTATTTATGATGATTGATTTATTATTTAATGTGCTTTCCCTTTATACAAACCTCCCCCCCTCTATGAATTATTTTTTATTATAATATTCAACTTTGGAGTTTGAAATCCTGTACTTCTTCTTGATGAAGAACAAAGGATGGGTTTTTTCTTGAAATCATTAGCAAGGTACTACAATTTAACCGTTTCTTTATCTTTCTTTCGAAGAAGTTGAATATTTTCATCATCATCTCTAGTATTTTTCCTGGTTTCTCCCAAATTTAGTTTATCTCATCTTTTTGTCCCCTAATCTATTTTCTTACTCATTTAAACTCGATTACCATCTGGGTCTGATTGGTTTTCATCGTCAGGAAGAGAAAATAGGAAAAGTTTCTTGTTTTTTTCTTTCTTTTAAAGAGATGATCTGATTTAAGCATGGTATGATGCATAGCAACAAGGGTTTCTTTGTACATGGTAACAACTCGTTTGCAGGTGCACACACTCGGTCATACACGTATAGAAATAGTATTATATAAGTACATTATTCAACATGGGTTTGTAAAAAAAATGCAAGTTTTTCTTCCTTTTTAAGGTCTTTTGATTTTCAAATTGGAAAACAACACAGGAACCCCTCCACTCCTGTTGGGATGGTAGGAAGCTTGAGAATGGTTTCCATTTGTGGACACATGACCAAAGGTGCATGGTACCAAATCAAAGAGAAATTTTCAGGCAAGTTGGAAGATGTGTTGAGTTACTTTAATTAGTTTATTTCAGGTTTTTATCATCTTTCAACTTAAACATTGCGTATTTCTTAGATATTTAGTTTCCTAGAGAGATTTAGGGTTCAAGTTTACATAGAATTTCTTCATAGGGATATTACTGCTTGGTGTTTTGGGTGTACGACATAATTTCCGTAGTAATTTTAATTACCCAAGTAGCCATGTATTGTTGGTTAATTCTTTTTAACAATATTGCTTTATGGCTTTTTAGTTGGTGATATATGTGGTATTGCTCTATGGATGATTCTTTGCATGTCAGGTTGAGTTGCTATTATATATGTTCTAAAACCGAACCTTTAATTTAAGTTACAATTTAATGGACATGCCCTAGAGTTTTGTAGAATAGTTAATGAGGGTCACTTGCTTTTTCTTTAGCATTCTTGCTGTTTGTTGTAATTTAATGCAGTGACCAAAAATTTACATCCCAAGATGATTGGTAATATGTTCCTCTATATTGTATGCTGTTAGCACATAGATCTTTCTTGAACGGATCAGTAGTTATTTGCTGTCTATCCATATGATTAACTAGTGAATTAGGGAACAAGGGAGTTCATAATTAACTATACAGGCCATATTGGTTCCTCTAAATTGCTCTTTATCGAGTTCATTTACTAATTAATGGGACACTGATGTTTATCATATTGAGCCGATAGCTTGTTTTTGAATGATTTGTTTCTATACAATGCACTGGTTGAGTGTTCATAGGACCTATACTTAATCATAAAGGAATTTTCTACATTTTAGCTTGTAAAACTAGCCAGACTTCCAGTAGGTGCCTAAGGCTTGGAGTTTTTTGTTCCAATCTTTGTTCTTCTTTACAGTGATGGTGTTTGAGAATACAAGGGAATCTTGACTAGTTTTCACTTTATTGATGGGACCAATGGACCTCATATATGTTGTGCCACTTAGTTTACCTCAACTGTGAGCTTTTAACAGTGCAGCAAGATCCTTAAGCGCTTGATGGAGAAGCTCAGACATATGGCCAAGTTTGTGACTCGACATGTCTGCTAACAGTTGCACTATTAGTTATAAATAATTCAATCCACAAGTGTTTCAGTGGAAAATGGAGCATTAATCAAGTTACTATTTCCCATTTCAGAAGTGGTGAGGTTCAAGTTGACACAAATCATAAGACTTTTTATGCGTTTAAAGAGCTTAAAAGTTCGACATTGCTTAAAAGGCCAGTCACCATCTTTAATAATGCTCGTACCTTACTTGCTAATAGCTTATGTTGCATTGGATCTGGACATTTTGGCTTTGAGAAAGTACTTACAGTTCCAGATACAGATTTTTTGAATTTGGACTTAGTCTTATCAATTAATGAGTGCTATGACAGAAAGCCAAGTTCAAAAGCCACTCAAGATCCCATTTGGCTAATATTCATCCGCATACTTTACTTGCATAAAATCATCATGTCAATATATAACTTGTGGCTAATATATTCATTGGCTCTTCTAAAATTACTTTTGTTCTTTCCAGTACTTGGTTATGTATTGCGTAAAATCTTATATTCATCTTAGTTATTGTTATTTATTGAGAGCCTGTTCATGATAAAAATGTCTTGTTCTTATCCTGTGATCAGCTAGTAGCCTAGCATCATCGATCCTTGTTTTTAAGCTTAAACTTATATCTTAAATGTTTTGTTATAAAAATCAATGTATACATCTTTACATGGTGTATAGTGCTCACAAGATTTGTCTTTTGTTCTTCATTCGAGTAACTTTTATTAATGACGTCCCATGTCCCACGAAGAATCCAGCAACATTTCAGAACAACCTTGCAATCTGTTGGTAACAGATAACATGGGGCATTTCTATTCTAGGAGTCATGGATTCTGGTTTTAGAAAGATCCGTTAATATTCTTTAGGATTTTGATTTCAAAATTTAGCCAACCAGTCAGTGACTCAGTGTTCTAAAAAGTGCCTAATAGGCTAATAGTTAATGTAGTTTAGCGGGGATCAGGTGGATCATTAAGTGATCCATTTTTAATGTGTAGAATACAATAGATAAAAAATGGACTTGTGATTTTGTTTCGTCAATTAACAATAATAGCATATATGACATGGTGCATACCTTTATAAGAAAATGCATAAATCATAACATCATTAGTTCATCTTACTTATCGCAAATCACTATAATTGAGATGTACGTAATGTTGTTCGTCATAAGATATAACAAATAACATCTCATGACTTCATGCCCTTCACCAATGTTCTTGATCAAAATATTGGGACGTGATTTCATTGTCGTTAAAATCTTCACCATGTGATTCAATATCGTCTTCAACAAACTCTCTCTCATTTCTTTTCACACTCCTTCAAGGCACTAAATATCATCATCACTGAGTGATACTAACATCATTTGCTAGTATACAACACACTCCCCCTCATTTCATCATTTTCTTTTTTGTTCATAAGTTTTGCATTGAATTGAACTAAAAGAGATTGTTCAATCTCAAAGTCTAGCCTATTTTTTTGTATGGATCTTAAAAAAAGCAAGTCATCAATAGAACGGTAAAATTTAAATAAACAAATAACTTAATTAGTACTAATGAGAATAACTACCCTTTAGAAGCACTCCAATTATGTTCACATTTGGAAGAACTTAAAGTCAGCAAGAGTATCTTCATCATCATGTGCAAATCTGGAGTCTTGCTACCATAATTAGACACCAACCCACTAACAATCAAGAGTAGTATTAGTCAAATAGGATAACAAAAAAATTGAACATTAGAGATAAGAAGATAATTACCTGGATCAAAAGCATCATCGTTCTTCAAAACCCCATAATTGTTAGCTTTTTTGAGATCATTCCTTCATCGTTTTGTATTTCAGCAACTCCATATTAGATATGATATGTTGTTTTTAAATCAATAGCCTTCAAAGCGTTGATTTTTAATATTGGTTTGTTTATATGTTGTGTCCCAATCCTTCGAAATCTTTATGACCTTTTTCTTGGCATCCTAAATTTGCCATGCCCAAAACATGATGATTTTAACTTTTCCCTCGATAAGTCTAAGAACCCTCACGAGAGCACACATTTTTAAGGTTAAGCCAAGATAATACATATTGAAATGTACAATCATCCAGTAAATAAGATTTACTTTAGGTCTGGCTTTCCATGGTTGCATATTACTTTGTCCTTTTGCAATTGTGGATATCTTACATTAATTCCATTCTTCCCAAAGGAATATGACCATAATTTTTCCTTTTATCTCTAATATGCTTTTCTGTTGTTAAATGTGAACATGCAAATCTTGTGGAAAACTAAAGCACTAATTAAGCTACTATTTTTTCACTTCATGAAGTGATGAGGTTCAAGTTGCCACTTAACATAAAGCTTTTCTTTTTGCTGCAGAAATGGTCAAACCCAGGTGCCATCTTTATAATGCTTGTATGTTATGCACTAATAGCTTTATGTTGCACTGGATTTGGACCGCCATTTGAGACGGTGTCTACAGTTAAAGATACTGATCTTCTGAACTTGGATTTAAGGTTATCAGTTAATGTGTCCTATGGCACAATGACAGAAATCCAAAAGCCACTCAAGAGCCCTCTTTGGAAAAAAAAACTTGTTTCTCTTTAAGATGGTTTTGACATGATGATTTTATGCAAGCAATAAGTATGTCTATTAGGAGTAATAGTGTCAAATGTCAATACTAAGACTATTGAGAGGTTTATATTAAGGTAAATATCAAAGAAAGAACATGACTACTCTAGGCTTACTATTAATTTAGCATGTATAGCCTTCCCCAAGAAAATAAATTGGATTAATAATAAGAGCATGGTGGGGAGATATAACTCAATGTAAAAATCCAGGAAAGGACATGACTTCTCTAGGTTTACCAATTAGAATTGAACATTGTCTAAGAATATAAATTGGGGCAAGTATTACATTTTCAAATTCCACGAAGAAAATGATTCAGTTCGACTCTTGAGGAACTGACCATTTTTCCAACTTCAAAATCAAAATGAATTTTGTAAATTTTACAATGAACTTCATAAAACAAATACTTATAAAAGAAACATGTTCATGTTAAGTTTGTAAGAATTTTCAAGGCATAAGTTTGTTTTCTGAAGTAAATATTTACTAATGAACCTGCCTCTTTATACCTGAAACTTCTTCATTGTCTCATTTCTATTACCATTTCAAGGAATGTTTTGTTGCACCTTATTATTAGTTTTCTTTCTAGGTGTCTTTGAGCTTGTGATTCAGGTCATTTCATATATCCATTGGCTTTGTGGAAAGCTGTTCCTGGTATGAAATAAATCTTCAAGAAAGTGGCGTTGTTAGCATGTCAGCTAGCATCAGCAACTTATTCACTTTGAACTTAGATGTTCTTTGTAAAAGATATTATATATATATATATATATTCACACAACACAGTGTATAGGTGTATAGTGCTCAGGAGATGGTCTTTTGTCATTTTCTTCCATGTAACATTCACTAATCACCTACCACAATCCCACCAAGACTCCGGTAACATTTCACTAAGAGCTTGGAATCTGTTGGTAACAGGAGATGTGAGGAAATTTTACTCTAGGAGTCTTGTTTTATATTATCATTATACAGAAGTTCTCTAGATTTTTGGGTTTCATATTCTAGCCATTTGTGAAATGTTCCCCAAGAATCTTGCTGCCAACTCATGTTTTTAGTAGCTTGTGCACCTTTTCCATGAGATTCAAGATATATGCTATTCGTTTATGTCATTTCTCCTCATTCTTTCTTTTGTTGGCCCCATCTTCGTTTCTCCTCACGTTAAGTTATAGAAGTTTGCAACCTATAAGTAGTACCTGAAAACTGAAAACACTAAATGGTCAAAACAAATGAGTATGAGACCCAAAAAGTTCCCAGGACGCTAATTAAATATTTGCTTGTTTCTTATTTGTGGGAATTGGTAAGAATTTTCCTTTGCTCTTGGTATCTGTTCATTTTAATTAAACAGACTAGTGAAACTACAATAAAATCTAGATTACCCTTTTGGTGTTCATGCTTTTCCTAGGTTCTTTGCTATATTTACTGTCCTTCTGAATTGTATAAAACTAAGCAAAGTGATTATATTTATAAGGATGTTCACCTGATTCAGAGACATTATCTAAAAAATGCTAGTAGTAGAAGTATTTAGAGCAATCCTGGAATTAGGGTTTGGTGACATGAATGTTTATATGAAATCCATGATGAGCTTACCAGCCTTCATGTAGTCCTTTCACACAATATCAATCTAAGTATTCTCTTCTCCTGAATGCTCATATCCATCTAAATAATTGGTATTTTTACGAAAACCTCGTACAAATATCAATATTCTGTCAATCCTTATCGTCATGGCACTAATAAAGTAATATGCCTTTTTTTCTTCATGAACTCCGTATGGAGTTCTATTTTTCTAATGTGCTTTTCTTGAATTTTCAGATGCTATGAATTGGTTGTTTTATCTTCCTAAACTGGAAACACTTGCCCCACATTTATCAATTCGAACAATTATTCTTGAGGACATTGGGGGAATATATAATAGTGTTTCTGAGATGACATTACAAAATATATACACCTGTTGCTACATAGTCTACACGTTTTTTAGTAGGTACCTGGGTTCAGTCTTCAGCTGCAATTGTTCTCTGCTTCAAAATTTATGGTTGCTAGTTCCATCTGTACAAGTCAAAGTCCATCCACTGATCCACCCAGTCCATTATTCCTTCCTTCCTTCTTTGCAATTGTAGGTGTTATTTCATGTTCTGAGGATTAAAAACTGGATAAAAAATTTGGTTGTAGATGGACCTGTAGGTGCATGTGTGTTATACAAGTATATGCTTATATGCACCTATGGAAGTCTGGATGATGCCTTTTCCAGAACCATTGGTATTCTAATACTTGGAAAACTAGAAACTTCAATGATGTTGCTTTAGTAGTTTCCTCTGTAGTAAATTCAAAGAGGCATAAACCAACAATTAGTCAATTTCGTTGTTCAAGGAATTGTGAATTTCATATTTATTAAGTTTTCTGAACCTTATGGGGCAGGCCTTGGAGCAATATGTAAGGTTACTCATTTGTGACCAGAAGGTTGCAACTCATGGATTCAACTCATGTCACTGTAACAACCTTCTTGTGAAAATTCAAGGAGAGTTGTGCAAGACAACATAATTTTCGAATCCATAGTAGAACCTTGTGCACAATCTTGTGTAAGATGTTCCATCATTGTCACAAGAATGCTTAGTTATGTCATGGATCTAAGTTTTTTCATGACCTGGTCATTATATGCATTCATCCTAGTTTCTCTTTTTATCTCTTTCCTATTCCTATCGAATGATGGACAGTCATGTTATCTCCTGCCGTTGTGCATTCATCCTTGTCTCCAGTTTAGGTGAACTTTACTTGTACATGTGTGAGCTCATTCAAACTGGCAAATGGGATGTCAATATGGAACTAAATTATCTTCTCACCTTTATGTTTAGTCTCTTTACTGTGAATGATATAGTTGAAGAAACCAACACATCGTTTTTATTATTTAATCCATTTCTTGAAAGTGACTTGAATTCTTGTAATGATCCTGCAGAGGGCAATTTGAAATCTGTCAACAGAATGACTTTTATTGTGTCTGAGTTAGAAGAAAAAAGAAATATGTTTGGTGTAAAGACAATTTGAGATCTGGGATTTGGAAATCCAATCAAATTCAGCTGTATGGACTAGATAAATGTTGAAGCCGAACAAATGAAAGAATTGAAGGAACGGTTTCAATGAGTGTCTTTCTCAGTAACTTTCGAAGCCCAAATAGAGGTATTCTGCATTCAAAGCATCAGTTCCCTATCTTAGTTGGTATCTTTTGAGAGTGTTACCAAATATTTAGTGAAGGGACCATGGCTGAGTTTTGATAAAATCATTCCATCAAACAGAATCAATAATTCTGTTACCCAAAAGGTAGTTAGAAATGATTCTTCCATATCAATTTTGGTTTCATCTCTATTTGTAAGGAAAGAAACCCTAATTCTACTCACATGAGTGACAATCAAAGACCTACGTAGCAGTTGGTGTGGATGCTTAATTATAAAGACCCAACTACATAAATCCCTAATCAATAAACATACATAGAGAGACAACCCAGATTTCTATAACTTGTGTTTTAAGGGTACATATGTGTAGCAATCACATGATCCATGGGTGATGAGATTCATCAGTTCTAGGAAGTTGCAGGATTTACAAATATGTATTTTAGAACTTATGTATATATACAAGTAAAACGAAACGAGTAACAAAATGAGATTATCTTCTTATTCATACATTAATGTATCAAATAAACATGCACTTAATATTGAAGACTTATTTTGCTTTTACTTTGGCCTGATTTGTCATATTAGTGAAAGCCATACAGGAAAAGGTTTGTTTCTTTCTAGCAACAAGGCAGAACTTGTATTTTGGACTTCTAGCCTTGGTTACCAACTTCTAACATGTGGGTTTTCATCTTTGTTTAAAAAAACCCGAAGTAGTTCCTATGCAATCTTCCTACTATATGTTCATGGTGAACTTCACAATTGTACATCCAACCCATATTCCAACTCAAGGGAAAAAAAGGGGACAAGAAACCATTTAACGCCACATGTGCTACATGGTCGAATTGTAAATTGGTCTAATAACTTTTAACATGTGTTTTTTTTTGTTAAGTTGTAGATTGGTCTAATAATTTGTTAGCCCCATGCTCATGCCTAAGCCAATGATAACTTATTCTAGGCATACTAGGAAGATTAGTTAAAGACATTTATGCTAATTAGTACTGAGGCAAGATTAGATCTTCCTTTAGTAGTTAGTCATGGAATGGCAACAATTCTATTTCTTTAGGCAATATATTACTTCCTTGATTAAATAAGCTCTATAGGTTGGGTCTAGGTGGAATTACAAACAAAACCAAACAAATCTAGTAAATCCCATGCAACAATAAGGTCTAGGGTAGGTAGTACGTAGACCTTTCTCTGCCCAAAGGGTAGAGGCAATCTACAGGCATAATTAAGAGTTATGCTAGTTTGATGGAAACCATTGGACGTTAGATTAAACCTGGGGAAAGCCTT